TCTGCCCAGCTGGAGGTCCAGGCCACAGCTATCTACCCTGCCTCCCTTTGTCAGACCCCCTCCCCCACCCTTCGGACTGGTCTGCTGTTGGAAGTCAAGAGTGAAGATAAAACAAGCAGACAATGCCAGACAGCCAGAAGAAGCAGGCAGAGGGCCCTGGGCAGCCTGTCTGGGTCCTCTGAGCAGAGGCCCCAACAGACTGGCCCAGCGGGTATGCTGAAGCCCCCCCCAGGCCATATGCCCACCATAGGTGGGCCTTGAGCAGGCAAAGAGGGCTGCAGTAATGGAAAATCCAAAGAGCCCCTTGCAGACTCAGGCCTACCCTCGATCCAGTCCTGCATCAGATCATGTAGGGTCTTCCCCCTCATTCTCATTCCCAGTTTCCATCCCAAAAGGCTTTGGAACATGACCTTCCTGGGCTCTTGGACTGGAGATGGTCACCAATGACATCCGAGGAGCCGGAAAGAAAATGGTCTCTCCAATTAACTCCAGGAAGGAGCCTTGAGTATGGAGTCTGAGAACTGATACAGAAACCTACTTGGAGAATGTATGCCCTCTTCTGCCCTGGTAGTCCCCCACCTCTCTGCTGCTCTAGGGCCTCCATGCCCAGGGTTCACCTTCCTCTTCACCAGCTCTCCCTTACATAGCTGCCATCTTCATGACCTCTGGGTTAGTGTCTGTGCTTCTTGCTGAACAATAATCTTCCACGATATTTGTATGCCATCTTTTTTTTTCCAGCTCTTCTTCAGGCACCTGGCACTGTCCCCCCAATTTCCAGCTCTTCGCCACTACAGAGAGAATTGCTTTGAATATTTCCATTTTTCTGGGACCTTAGTTTTTGCTGTCTGCTTCCTTGTGGAGTAGCTGATTCTAGATGGCTGGCCAGCTGGGCTGAGCACCCAGCATCAGGGCCACCAACCCAGTGCACACTTTCTGTTTGTTTTCTAAACCTTCTCCCTTTCTAGCCTTCTTAGACCTCAGCCCATCCTCAACAGACTCTTTGACCCTGCCTCCTGGTTGTTCCTCAGGCAAGACCCCCGTCTCCTCACTTGGACATTTTTTCTGACTGTCTCCCAGGCCTGGAACTCTCTCTCTCTCCTCATCCTCCCCTCCTGGAGAGCTTCCCTGGCTTCCTCAAAGCCCACCTTCTCCAGGAAGCCTTTCCTGATACCCCTTCATGCTGGCACCTTCCCTCTGTAGGTTATATCCTGCTCTTGGTTCATTGTGTGCACTTGTTTGCAGGCTGTCTTCCCCTTTAGACAGGGAGGTCCTTGAGAGCAGGGACTTAAAAATGGTTTTATTTTTGCTTTACTTTGTATCCTCAACACTTAGGACAGTGCCTGGCACATAGTAGGTGCTTAACAAATGCTCATAGCTGATGGCTCGGAGAGATGGTTAGAAGCCGATTGGCTAGAAAATGGAGATGGAAAGACATCCCCAAAATGGAAAAGGACCCATGTATACAAACACATTGATGGCAGCTCTTCTAGTGGGGGCTAAGAATTGGAAACTGAGGCGATGCCCAGCCATCAGGGAATGGCAGAATAAAGTGTCATATACGAATGTAAGGGAATACTATTGTGCTATAAGAAATGACGAGCAGGAGGGTTTCAGAAAAACCTGGAAAGATTTACATGAACTGATGCTGAGTGAAGTGAGCAGAACCAGGAGAACGTTGTACACAGTAACAGCAACATTGTAACAATGATCAACTGTGAATGACTTAGCTCTTCTCAGGGATACAATGATCCAAGACAATCCCAAAGGACTCACGATGAACGTACTATCCGCCTCCAGAGAAAGAACTGATATTAACTGAAGACAGACAGAGGCAGGCTATTTTTTACTTTCCTTCTTTCATTTGTTTCTTTTATTCAAGTCTTGTATATGGAAGTGTTTTACATGATTGTACATGGATAGCCTATATCTGATTGCTTACTGTCCCAGGGAGTGGGGAAGGGAGAGAGGAATAGGATTTGGAACTCAAAACTTTAAATAAAAGTGTTTAAAAAATTTAAAAAAAGAAAAGAAAATGGAGATGGCTCAGTCTTGATCGCTTTGTTCCTACCTTCTGGCTTTCCTGGAGACCTCTCCCCTGGCACTTCAGCAGGAGACTAATGAGAGCTCTTTTGGCAGAGAGTTCACTGAGGCCATGTTTCTTAACAAAACACATCGGCACTGGGAATGCTCGGTCGTCCTCCCCAGCACGCTGCTCTCCCTCTGAAGCCTGTCACCTGCCCTTGTTACCGGGCTGGGCACCACGGTGGCCAGCTGCCCAGGGTGGCCCATTAGCAGGCCCTGCAAGATGCCCTGAGGCAGACTGACAAGCTTCCTCTCTCTGGGCTGCAAATGGGGTTAGGCTCTGGTTTCGCCTGCTCTGTTGGGCAATGGCAGAGAAAAGGAGGCAGCCGCCATGAAAAGGCTCCCTTTCACCCTGGCATTCCTGCAGAGCGGGAGGGAGGCCTGGGCCAGCTGGAGGGCCAAAGCACCTCCCCTGGCCAGGAGGAAGCCTTCATAGACCCTGAAGCCACAGGCTTCTTGGGAGCCTCAGCCAGAGTCCACACGCTTGCCAAGTACAGAGCCGGCTTCTTCCGCTGTGCCGGTAGGGCTGAGCCTGGATGATCTGGGGGCTTTTCTCCACGTTCTAGACCCAGGCAGGTGCCAGATTGAATCCTTCTCCCTCTACAGCTTCTCTAGCGCATCAGTCACCTCTTCTCCACTCCCCTCTCCCTCCCACCCTGCCTAGTCCACTCTCGTCACTATGCACTGTTGCAGGAGCCTCCTAAGGAGCCTCCCTGCCTCCAGCCTCTCCTCTCCATACATCCTCCTAACAGCTGCCAAGAGGACATGTCTTTATTTTTTTATTTTTTGAGAGGACTTTCTTAAAGCCCAGATCTGACCACGTCACTCAGTTACTGAAGAAGCCTTGGTGGCTCCCTATTGCCTCTTGGGTCAAATGCAAATGCCTCAGCTGGCCTGGTATGTAAGGCCATTCAACATTTGCCTCCCACCTCTCTCTGTAGGCTTCTCGTACCTTCCAGCCACTGACCTACTGGCACATCCCCAGACACGGCATTCTGTCTTGCACCTCCAGGCCCTTGCACACACATTCCCATAAGCCTAGAATGCCCTCCTTCTTCACCTCAGCTTTTCAGAATTCCTCTCTTCCTACCAGACTGGCCCAGGAAGCCTTTTTTTATTTTATTAATTTATTTTGATTTATCAATAATCACTTCCATATGCTTTTGAATTTAAAATTTTTCTCCCCCTTCCTCCCCACCACCCTCCCCAAGATGATGCACAATCTAATATAGGCTATACATTTGCATTCCTATTAAACATGTTTTCCCATTAGTAAAAATTAAAACCAATGGGAGGAACCATCAGAAAGACAAAACAAAACTCAACAGAAGAGAAAAAAAATAGCAATTCAACTTTCATAGTTCTTTCTTTGGATGTGGATAGCATTTTCCATCTTGAGGCCTCTGGAGATGTCTTAGATCCTTGTATTGCCGAGAAAGGTTAAATTTATCAATATTAGTCGTCCCACAACGTGGCTGTTCTCTCGGTTCTATTCACTTCACTTAGCATCAGACCATACAAGTCTTTCCAGGTTTTTCTGAAGTCAGCCTGTTCATCTTTTCTAATAGCACGATAGTATTCCATCACATTCATATGCCACAACTTGTTCAGCCATTCAATTGATGGGCATCCTCTCAATTTCCAATTCTTTGCCACCACAAAAAGAGCTGCTATGAATATTTTTGTACATGTGGGTCCTTTTCCCATTTGTGATCTCTTTGGGATATAGCCTAGAAGTGCTATTGCTGGTCAAAGGGTATGCACATTTTTAGCCCTTTGGATATAGTTCCAAATTGTTCTCCAAAATGGTTGGATCATTTCACAACTCTACCAACAATGCATTAGTGTTCCAATTTTCCCACATCTTCTCCAACATTTATCATTTTCCTGTTTTGTCATGTTGGCCAATCTGATAGGTGTGATGTGGTACCTCAGAGTTGTTTTGATTTGCATTTCTCTAATCAATAACGATTTAGAGCATTTTTTCATATGACTATAGGTGGCTTTAATTTCTTCATCTGAGAACTGTCTGTTCATATCCTTTGACCATTTATCAATTGGGGAATGGCTTTGTTTATAAATTTGTTTAATTCTCTATGTATTTTAGAAATGAGGCCTTATCAGAGAGACTGGTTGTAAAAATTCTTTCCCAATTTTCTACCTTCCTTCTAATTTTTGTTGCATTGGTTTTGTTTGTGCAAAAACTTTTCAATTTAATGTAATCAAGATTATCCATTTTGCTTTTCATAATGTTCTCTATCTCTTGTTTGGTCATGAATTCTTCTGTTCTCCATAGATCTGATAGGTAAACTATTCCTTGTTCTCCCTGTTTGCTTATGGTATCAGCCTTTATATCTAAATCATGAACCCATTTTGATTTTGTTTTTGGTATATGGTGTGAGATTTTGGTCTATGCCTAGTTTTTGCCATACTCTTTTCCAGTTTTCCCAGCAGTTTTTTTCAAAGAGTGGGTTCTTATCCCAGAAGCTGGGGTCTTTGGGTTTATCAAATAATAGATTACTATATTAATTGACTACTGTGACTTGCATATTTAACCTATTCCACTGATCCACCACTCTATTTCTTAGCCAGTACCAAGCGGTTTTGATGATTGCTGCAGGAAGCCTTTTCTGAGTGAGACTGCTAAGTGTTTTCTCTCTCATCAAATATTCTCAGAGCATCGAGTCTCCTCTGCCTCCTTCTCAGCTAGGGCACATTTATTAATAGGCTCATGGCTTTAGGGCTGGCAGGGCCTAGGGAGGTGTCCAGCCCAACCCCCTCTTATTACAGATGAAGAGGCAGAGGCTGAGAAAGCATGAGTGACTTGCCCAGACACATGCGTGGCCCGAAAATGTCTGAGGTAGGATTGGAACCCCTGCCTCCTGACTCTAAGCCCTCCCTCCCATCCCCTTTTCCAGGCTCCCTCTCTATCTCACAACAAGCTGAAGAGGTCAAGAAGCCCGGCTGCCCCCATAGATGGAACCTGGGACAAGCCCAGAGCGCAGGCCTGGAGCCCCTTGGAGGAGAAGCTCTTGGAGACTCCGGTAATGCCAATCATCTGTACACTTGTGTTTCCCCCAGGAGAATGTAAGCTCCTCTGGGCAGGGGCAGGCTAGTTCTGTCTTCCAGAGCCCAGCACAGGGCCTGGCCCAGAGAATGGGCTTAAGGGGGATTCCTGAATTAAACAGACTAAGCAGAAACTCCCAGGGGCCTCATTCAAAAGCAGACAGATAACCAGGCTGACCTTTCTGAACCTTCTGCTTTGGTTTGCCAAGTAATCTAGATGGGTAGGAAGAGTTCAGGTGGGCACAAAACCAGGAGTCATGGGAGTTGGGGTGGGGGTGGGGGGACACATAGCAGAGAGGAGGCTGGAGGCTGTGTGCCAGGGACAGAGAACTGACCACGAAAGCTCTGGCTGCCTCTGGAAGTTCCTACTACTCATCAGGGGAGGCTGGAGTGCCCTTGCTGGGGGCACTGGCGAGGGTCAGGGTGGGAGCAGCTGCCTCAGGGGTCCCTCCCTCAGAGGAGAGTCCGTGCCTCTTCTCTCCTTGTAGTCCTGACAGGGCAGCATCCTTGGGGGTCCTGGGCCTCTGGGCAGAGCAGAGCGGCCTTGAGTGACTCAGGCCTGGGATCAGACCTTACGTGACCGCCTAAGGGGCAGCTCCTGGGTCATTGAGCCAGTGCTCAGGAGGCAAACCTTCAGCCCCTCCTCCCCAGAATAGCTTCCAGAGGGCCCTGCCACTCACAGGCTTCTAACTAACTCTCTTGTCAGGGAGCTCAGCAGGCCCCAATTGTCTCCAAGTCTCCCCAGGGAAGACCAAGACAGGGATGAAGGGAGAAACGATTCAGAGGAAAGGGAAAGAAGCACTTTCTCCAGCTCCTGGAGACCCCAGGCAGTGCCACTGACAGTTGGGGTATGGGGGTAGCAGAAGGGAGGTCACTCACTGTGTCTACATGGAGGTGGCCAGTGGAGTCCAGCGGGAGGTGTCCATCTGGAATGGCCAATGGAGGCTGATGGGAAGTGACCGTGGAGTCCTGCAGGAGGTGTCTAGTGGAGTCTGGGGTGCAGAAAGCTGGAGATGGGGGACCATGCTGAGGGCAGCTATGAGTCAACTGCAGACAGGGTGGGGAGGAGCTGGGAGAGAATGAGCTCTCAGAGGACAGGGGGCTGCCTAGGGGGAGATGTGGGAAGAAGCAGGACAAATTGGGGAGCCCAGCCCAGAGGGCGGCAGCCTCAGAAAGCGACCCTTGGCTCGCACTGCAGACAGGGTGGCAGAGGCTCCTGGAACCAAGGCTCCTCTCCTCTGTCTCAGTACCAGCAGAGCGTTTGGGGTCTCTTGACTGCACTATCTGGGCTTAATAAAAGGCAGAGTTGTCCTGCTTCAGATCACACAGGCAGTCGGGGCAGAAGTAGAATTGGGGGGCAGTGTGGAAGAGTGGATGGAGACTGGACTGGGAAGGAAGAAGCCCTGGGTTCAAGCCCTGCCTCTGACACTGACTAGCCGCATGCTCCTGGGCAAGTCCCTTGATGCCCCTGAAGTTCTTTTGAGCTTGCCCTCCTGAGATCTGAACCCAGGTCCTCTGCCTCTGGCTAGCACACCTCCACTGCATCCCAGTGCCTCAGTAACATGAAGCTGCTTCCTGAAATGCAGTGCTGAGCATCATCCCTGCCTCTCTCAGTAGACTCCCACGGCTCCTTGTGGTCTCCAGGAGAACATTCAAAGCCCTTCACCTGCCTCCTCCTCCTTTTCCAGTCTCCTTCCACCTTCCTCCCCCGCGGCACCCTTTTCCATCCAGTGGCCCGGCCTCCGGCTGCTCCATGAACAAGCCCCTCCCTCTCCGGCTCTGAGCATTCTCTCTGACTGTGGCTCAGGCCTGGACCACTCCCCCTCCTCTGCTCTGCTCACTGAGCTCCCCAGCTTCCTTTGGGTCCCAACAGAAATCCCCCAGCCCTCCGAGTTCCAGGGCCTTCACTCTGGTCATCGTTTCCTATTTATCCTGCATATAGGTTGCTTCGTACAGCCTTGTATGTTGTCTCCCTCTCCCCCATTAGATTGTGAGCTCCCTGAGGATAGGGACTGTCTTTTTGTATCCCCAGCACTTAGCACCTGTCCCTGGCACATAGTAGGTGCTTAGTAAATGTTGATTTATTGAAAGAGACTTGAGGCAAGGAGATAGACTATGAAGCTGTCACAATGATCTAGGAGAGAGGCGAGTGATGGAGGCCCTATCTGCATGAATGGAGAGAAGGGATCATACCGGATGGTAGGAATCTGCTAAGTGGGTACGGAGGGTCAAGCAGAAGCAAGGAGACCGAGATCATGGAGCTGGAAGGCCAGAACGGTGTGGTGCCTTCAGCAGGAAATGGCCAGGTTTGTGGGGGGAGATTGGGAGCTAGAGTTTGTGATGCCTCTGGGGTATCCAGTACCTTGGGCCGTGGGTCCTGACCCTCATGGGATAGACAGGCTGGGCCTTTGATCTGTGAATCATTGACCTAGAAATGGCAAACACAGGAGAGTTGGTGTGGTCACTGACAGAAAGCAGAGTCTGGAGCAATCTTGGGGAACACCTCTGGTGTAGGGCATGATGGGAAGAAGAGGCCGGAGGAGGAGCAGTCAGATGGGTCTGAGGAGACTGGGAAGAGGGCTGGTCACAACAGCCCAGGGAGGGAGCAGAGCTGGGTCCGTCTTGTCAAAAGCAGCAAACAGATCCAGAACAACTGGGGCTTGGGTTGCCTGAATTGTTGTCTTTCATTTTTATCTGCAGTGATTTCCCCACTAACGCTGTCTCCTCTATTCCCCCCACCCCCAACCCTTCCTCAGGTCCCTCCCACACATACCTGAACCCTTCCTCAGAGCAAAGAAAAATGGTCATAGGGAGCAGTGACCTTCTCTGACCACATACAGCACATCCTCCCTGCTTCCTTCCCACCTTCCTGCTGATGGAAGATTTGGGACAACCAGGGAAACCAGGATACATGCTGCCATGCTGAGGATCCACTAACCTTGCCCCAGGCTTGTGCAGTGGACTCCCTGACCAGCCACATTACACGCATAGCTCTGTACCTGTCGGCTGCCTCCCCAGGTCATTCACATTGAATTGGTCTCCCCAACTAGACTGGGAGTTCCTGGAGGGCAAGGCCTATCTTTGTTTAGCACATGGTAGGTGCTTAGTAAAAGTGTGTTGACTGACTGACTAAGGAGCCTGTTCCTCAATGGAGGATTTCAAGACAAGGCCAGATGAGATCTGTGGAGGAGGTGGCATAAAGGTTGGAGCACCTAACAATTGTCCGACAAAGGAGCAGGCTGCCTAATAGGTAGTGAGCTCCCTGTCACCAGGGAAATGAAAATAGAGGGGTAAAAAGCCAAAGGCTGAGTCTTGGGGGAGCACAGTTTAGGGGCAGGAGGCAGAGGCAATAAAGGAGCCCAAAAGGTGCATCCAGGTAGGAGAGGAGCTGGCTGAGAGCACAGTCCCAGAAACCAAGCAAAGAAGCAGCCTTAAGGAGGAGGAGGAGGAGGAGGTGGGAGATGATGGGCATTGCCTGGGAGTCTGGACCTGACAAATAGCTAAGCTTGAGTAATCAAAAGCTCCTGTGTGACGACCCTCACAGCTGAATTGGCTTTGGAATACAGTACCAGGCTAGGCGTCCCATTGCCCGCCCCTGGATATTGTCCATACCCTGAACAAGCAGGCACCTCACTCCCTGCCTGCCCACCAGTGAGGCTCAAAAACCCTCCGACCCCTAGACAGGGCAGGCTGGGGATGGACTTCTAGTAGGGGGCCCCACCAGTCCCAAATATTGGGAACTGCTGAGCCAAGACTCTCCTGGAAGACTCAGCCTTGACTTGTATGGCAGCTGCTTGGGCCAGTCAAGACATCAGCCTCTTCCAGCGGAGAGGTGGGGACCTGGAAAGACGGGAGCACACCTGTGGGGAGGCTCTGTCCTGGACAGTGGCAGCTGCCTGAGTGGGCCTGGCTCTGGGGTAGGGCTGGCTCCAACTCAGGAGCTCCTGACAGGTTACTAACTTGGGAGGGCCTCAACTTACCCAGTTCTAGAAGAACTGGGAAAGGCAAATGGACTACTCGTGAATTGAACTATACTGATTGCCGGAGGGAGGCACAGCTACCCAGGAAAAACTCTAGTGCCCTTGTCCTGTGGGAGGATCAAAGTCACAGTCTTTACCCCCTGAAAAGCCTCTGCTTGCATCTCCACGGTGAGGAGAGGAAACCCTTCCTCCCCTTGGCTGTCCACCCTAATTCTGGCAAATTCAGATTGTGCTGGAGTTCCCTTCCTCACATCGAGTCCCAATCCTCCTCTACTGCTTTGGTCCATTGTTTCTAGTTCTAACCATGGGGAACAGGTAGAAAATGGTTAATCTTTCTTCCCCACCTCAAATTCTTGGATACAGGCTGCCTGAAGCCTTCTCTTCTTCAGGCTAAACAACTCTACTTCTCTCTTTTGATCTGCACATCATATGATCACTAACCTTCAACAGATGCCCCACAGCTTGTCAGGGTACTTGAACCCAGAACTGAACCCAAGGTCTCACTACCTCAATTTGGCAGCCATATCACACCGCTGACTCATACTGAATTTTCAGTCCACTAACACCCTAGGATTCTTTTCAGACAAACTGCCGTTTAGCTACACCTCTCCCATCTTTTGTTTTTGAAGCTGGTTTTTTGAACCTGGGGCCTTTGATGCCATCCAGCCCTCCCCTCCATGTTTCTCCTGGCCTTATGAAGTCCACCACTGGCCACAGAGCAGCTGTCTGACCACAGCCTTCCATGACTAGCTGCAGATCACAGAAATGCTTGCCATGATGAGTATGAAAAATCAAGAATGAACTTGCTTGGCTCCAGTGCAGACCTGGCTGGCCACATGGTCTCTCTTACCTCCCTCCTAGACTCCAGACAGTTTTCTGCTTGTGTCCTGGATACGCCGTCTATATGCTCCTGCCTCACTTGTCTTTCCCTCCTCCCACATTTCCCTGGCATTTCATGCTGCCCCTCTGGTAACTGACCATCCTGCTCCATACAACCA